AGGAACCCCCCCCAAAAAAGGATCTGTGGGAGGAATTACAGTCTACAATGACACTACTGGGACATCATGAAAAGCAAAGTCAGTGCATGCTTCCCGGACGCAGGAATAAGCAACTTACTCATTTTGATGACCTTTAATATCCTTTTCAGCTGGTCCTGTTCGCGTGTCTTCAGGTCCGACCAACGTTTCCTCAGCTGAACTTTCGTTCTCTGCACGTAAAAGTTTTGCCGCAAGACGTCAATGACTTTTTCCAAGATCACGTCCTTCCGGAGATTGAGCTTCTCATTTGTTACCAGTTTGCCATCATAATCTTCCTTCTCCAGGATTTTAACCATTTCCACCATCTCTTCGAAAGACATGGGAGTGGCTCTTTGCTTGCTCCTTCCATTCCTTGCCATTTGCAGTGTCCTGGAGACGTGCATAGCATGTGCTGCAGCCGCTTCCATCCTCCGTGTGTAGGGTCTGGTGCCGGGACCTGTGGAAAGGGGGCGGAGAAACACAGGTGATCACGTGACACACACACACACTAGTGTGCAGGCGCATTCAACGGGACGTGCGCAGGAAGATACATTGATATCCGGCACACAGGATCCCGTCGAATGGATTAGCCTATATAAACAAGCCTACCCCTACCCTGAATGGTCTTCAGCTGGTGACCTGAGCTCCTGTTCCTCTGCTGGATTCCCTGTTCTCTATGTTTGACCCGGATCGCTTGTTGACGTCTCTTGATTGCAGCCTGCCTCCTGACCTTGGCCTGTTTACTTGACTCTGCCTTTGCCCCATTGGCTTCCCCTGACTGCGTTTCTGCTTCCTGTCCTGGTACTATGCTTTCCACTCAGCTTGACCTCAGCTCTGTCTGACCTGCTCGCGGAGCGTCACCCAGCATGGTGTCTACACATCCATTGGCACTCGTGCTACTCATTGTCCACTCGCTCTCTGTCTCCATCTCCAGGGGTGAGGGACATGAGGCGCAAGGGGGCCTCCTCCCCTACCCTGTTTCGGTACTATCCTGCCCACCCGGCTTGACCTCGGCTCTGTCTGGCCTCCTTGTGGACTGTCACCCCGCACGGTGTCTGCACATCCATTGGCAGTCATGCTACTCTGTCTACTCCTTCTGTCTCCATCTCTAGGAGTGAGGGACACGAGGCGCAAGGAGGCCTCTTCCTCTATCCTGTACCAGTACTCTGCTGCCTGACCTGCTCCTGAACTGTCAGCCAGAACAGCGTCTGCACATCCATTGGCACTCGTGCTTCTCGTTGTCCACTCTCTCTTATCTCCAGGGGTGAGGGGCATGAGGAGCCTCCTCGCCTATCTGGTCTCCAACCAGGAACATGATAGGTTGTATTTCTTTTTCTTTCTCCTGTCCTTGTTAGGTATGAGATTTACGTTTGATATCATTGGCTCCTCCCCTTCTACAGTCAGCACATTGGTGGAGTCTTCTCCTTTATGGTTACTATGGATTACCTGTTGTGATTGAGAAGAACCGGTCTGGATTGCTCCCTATGTTTTGGAATGACTTGCATGGTGTTCTGTCCGAGCTGATTAATAAACTCTGATTTGAACAAAAGATTCGAGACACCTAATGCCCATGTTACTGCCCCCCCCCCCCCTCTGATAAATAAGGAACCCCCCACACCCCCTGTGGAGGAATCACGGTCTACAATTACAATGCTGGGACATCATGAAAAGCAAAGTCAGTGCATGCTTCCCGGACGCAGGACTTACTTATTTTGATGACTTTTAGTATCCTTTTCAGCTGGTCCTGTTCGCGTGTCTTCAGGTCGGACCAACGTTTCCTCAGCTGATCCTTCGTTCTCTGCACAGCAAAGTTTTGCTGCAGGACGTCCATGACTTTTTTCAGGATCGCGTCCTTCCTGAGGTTGAGCTTCTCATTTATTGCCAGTTTGCCATCATAATCTTCCTTCTTCAGGATTCTAACCATTTCCACCATCTCGTCGAAAGACATGGGAGTGGCTCTTTGCTTGCTCTTCCATTTTCTTCCCCTTTGCAGCGTCTTGGAGACGTGCATAGCATGTGCTGTAGCCGCTTCCATCCTCCGTGTGTGGAGTCTGGTACCAGGACCTGCGGAAGGGGCGGAGACGCACAGGTGATCACGTGACACACCGAACATTTCCTCGCATGAACGAACGTTCTGCGAGGTTACATCTTTGTTGCTGTTCTCTAGACCAGTGGTTCTCAACCCACATTTGTGCTTGGTCACCAAGTCGTGACCCCAAGTCGCACCGCACTGGAACTTCACAGCACTGCGTTACTGTGCTCTCCGGCGCGGGGCCGATTGAACTGTGGGCGGAAGGTGCGTTTGGGGTGCCATTCAAATTAGTGGCAATGCAACACAGCACCAGAACTGGCGGTAGGTGCAATTGCTCTGTACAGTGCATTAATCGCACGGGACTGTGCAATTGACGCACTACTAGTGTGAAGGGCCTCTCAAAAACACTGACAGACGCACACAACCACAGACACATTCTCACACGCCCTAAATATATATATTTTTTTAAAGATCCCCCCTCCGGTCTCCCGACCTTACTGGACCGGATCCTCAGCCTGGCGTCCATTTTGGACCATTTCACGATCCCGTCTTTGTGGGAGGAGTTTGGGGACGGCCCCTTCCTGTTCCAACATGACCGCGCACCAGTGCACAAAGCAAGGTCCATAAAGACATGGATGGGGGAGTTGGGGTGGAGGAACTTGACTGGCCGCACAGAGTCCTGACCTCAACCCCATAGAACACCTTTGGGATGAATTAGAGCAATGCAGAGTACCGGAAAAAAACAATTTTGCCTACATGATGTTTTGAAACATTACTACTCAAATTCATGTTAAAATATAAAAGATGGAGTCACGTCGGGTAAAAATGCCCCCATAGGCGACACTTGAAACACTTTTACCTCTCATCAGTTCAGTGTTAACAGTGATTGATGGCCCTAGATTTATTGCTCCCACTCCGACGTTCATGGGGATATGTAACATGTGCGGCGCAATAGTCGTTTTCGCACATAGGCGCACCTATGTAGACAGACTACAAATCCTAGCAATACATTATACAGCAATGCAGAATACCACCAACTATAGAGGACTACAAATCCCAGCAATACACTGTACAGCAATGCAGAATAATACCTCCAACTATAGAGGACAACAAATCCCAGCAATACATTATACAGCAATGCAGAATACCACCAGCTATAGAGGACTACAAAGCCCAGCAATGCATTATACAGCAATGCAGAATACCACCAGCTATAGAGGACTACAAAGCCCAGCAATGCATTATACAGCAATGCAGAATACCACCAGCTATAGAGGACTACAAAGCCCAGCAATGCATTATACAGCAATGCAGAATACCCCCAGCTATAGAGGACTACAAATCCCAGCAATTCATTATACAGCAATGCAGAATATCCCCAGCAATAGAGGACTACAAATCCCACCAATACATTATACAGCAATGCAGAATACCCCCAGCAATAGAGGACTACAAATCCCACCAATACATTACACAGCAATGCAGAATACCACCAGCTATAGAGGACTACAACTCCCAGCAATACATTACACAGCAATGCAGAATACCACCAGCTATCGAGGACTACAAATCCCAGCAATACATTATACAGCAATGCAGAATAGTAGGTGAGGACTACAAAGCCCAGCAATGCATTATACAGCAATGCAGAATACCACCAGCTATAGAGGACTACAAATCCCAGCAATTCATTATACAGCAATGCAGAATATCCCCAGCAATAGAGGACTACAAATCCCACCAATACATTATACAGCAATGCAGAATACCCCCAGCAATAGAGGACTACAAATCCCACCAATACATTACACAGCAATGCAGAATACCACCAGCTATAGAGGACTACAACTCCCAGCAATACATTACACAGCAATGCAGAATACCACCAGCTATCGAGGACTACAAATCCCAGCAATACATTATACAGCAATGCAGAATAGTAGGAAGCTACATACATATAATTCACCGGGACGCTGCTCCACCCATACCCACACTCTTCTCCTTCCATAACCACCAGAGGTTCATAAAACATTAAGAGCATCCATCGCGTCATCCACTAAAACAAATAAATGTATTAAAACAAAATAAAAAACACTCGCCCCCGGGGATTTACACCAGTAGGGGGGTAAAAGATTAGCATCAAACGTTCCTCCGATGTTCCCGGCAAAAAGCTCCGTGCTCCTTGGTGTCTCATGAGTGACGTTACCGTGTAGCTGCCCACCGACTCGTTTAAGCCAAACCCAGAGGAAGTCACCATGACAAAACGCATCGGTGGGCGGCTACACGGTGACGTCACTCATGAGACACCAAGGAGCACGGAGCTTGTTGCCTTCTTCTGGTGAATCCTTGTCCCAACGTTGATGGTCCACCATTTATAATTCAGTCTCATCTGATGTGATTATGTGAAGATCTGATAATTCTCCAACATGATCCCTTAAACGTCACATCTTCTCCTCAGAAGTGACATAGAACTGTGACCTGTTCCCTCCATAGTGTCTGTTACTTACTCGTGTTGATCGGTAGAGAAATGTCATCCTGATCACTTTTCATCATCATCCCGACCTCCTCCGTGGACGGCCGGTCACCCCCCACATACGTCTCCACTTCTTCCTCTTTAACCTCAGCTTTTATGATGATCCGTTCTTCACCCTAAACCCCAAAATAATAGAAAATGCAGTGTAAGTACCTGAATGTGACCCGGCATCAGGCTTCTGCAGCCCCTGTACAGCAAAGCTTAGACTAGCAGAGGGAGAAGCAGCGCAAGGAGCCCATCAACTGAGCTGCAGGGCTAATAAGGGTCATGCTGACTGAGAGAGAGAAGAGTTAGAGAGATGAGCTCATCAGTCTTCTGCTTCTCTTATTACTGTCCAATCACAGACTGAGGGAGAGACAAGACTGGGAGGTGTTACTGATCAGCTACAGAAGAATATCACGTGTCCTGTTCTGCCCATTTCAGGGCCGGTCTCCTACCCATTTCCTGGGAGCCAGGGATCCTCACCTAGGGGGGAGGGGGGGGGGACATTATTAAACCGGCCTGGACTGCCAGAACCAAAGACCAGCACCACATCATTCAGCAAGTGCCCTTTGGTGGAACACAAGGATGAAGAGACTCCATGATGTCTTGTGACTGGACCCAAGACCCATGGAAGAATATTAAATGTAGTGAATGTTAAAAAACAATAACATTTGGGGGTGTTACAAGAGGAAGCTGAAATGAAGGGGGAGGGAGGCTGCATTTCAGATGTAAAGTTAATGTTAAACCAAGAGACCACATAGACCAAAGTTCACAATGACTTCTGTGTTCTATACACCCAGTGCCACCTACCTGACCATGATGAGGGATGGTGTGACCTTCCTGTGTGGAATCCCGGAAATCCAGAGGATGAGAACATCTCTCTGGTGGGTTTGCGTCATGGAATTGCTCCGTTATGACGTCCTTGAAGGGATCTTGGTATCCTTCTGGAAACTTCTCCATCACACCAACCTCATTATACTCCTCTTTAATCTCTTCTTTAACAGGATTATCACACTCACTCTGTATATGGAGAACAATGAGATCAGATGCAACATAGAGAATGAACAGATCATAGTGTAAGTATCGGCTATTATGGCTCTATTTCACCTCATGAGGGATGGTGAGATCTTCCTGTGTGGAATCCCCGGAATACAGAGGACGGGGACATCTCTCTGGCGGGTTCCTCTTACTGGATCCATCTGTAGGAAACACACACACTGACTGAATACATTGTTTCTATGTGTGTATCAGATGATGGGGGATCTAGGTGGACCCTCCGTACCGCTCTCTCCTCTTACCCGGTGATGTGAGGGGCGGGGCATTCTCCATCACCACGTCCTTGTAGAGATCCCGGTGTCCTTCTAGATACTCCCACTCCTCCATGGAGAAATAGACAGAGACATCCTGACACCTTATAGGAACCTGACACACACAATGATACAGTCACCCTCCAGACACATCCCTCGTCTGTTCCTGGATCATGTCCCAGAATTCCCGGCACCGCTCACCTCTCCCGTCAGCTGATCAAATGATCTTCTGGGTGACTTCTAGAATCTTCTTGGCCCTGTTGGTCTCTGTTGTCAGGCAGTGAGGTGGAGGCTCTGTGATGGGAGATGTCTGGGCGTGTTAATAGCTCACGGGATATATTGGTCACTATCCGGTAATCCTGGTTAGAGAATAAAATAACAATTATCACAACACACTTCCCAGAATCCTGCTGATCTTTCATTATTAAAATGGTCACATGATCTAAACAAAGACTATCTGTAGGCAAATGTTGAGTTGCGTCCCTGATCTTGTATGACAACCCCGCCTTGTTTGCCGGGCTCCGATACCCATCCTTTTGGCCCGGGACCGGCTTGCCGGGTGTCGGCGGGAAGCTGGGGAGGAGAGCGGCGAACATCCGCGCGCCGATCCCCTCTCCCTACTATGGGACCGGGAGCGACAAGTATTGCATCACTTCCGGTCCCTGGGCTGTCAGCGCACGGCTCCTGAAGCCTGCGATCTGCACTTCAATAGCTTATTTCTAGTGTAAAGGTGACACTAGGAGTCTATTAGACCCCCAGCATCACCTTAAAGAGTACCTGTCACTGCTAATATGCTATCACATGGGGGGGGGGGGCTTTTAAGCCCCCCTATATGATAGCAATTACATTTAAAAAAAACAGAAAAATTAAATTTTACAAATAAATTAAATGTTAAAATGAAAAAAAAGTCCCCAGCCCCTGCGAGCATGTGCGCCAACATGCGTCGGGTGCGCCTACGTACGAAAACATTGATCGCGCTACACATGTTGGGTATCGCCGCACACGCCGGAGTGAAAGGCAATCATTCTGGCGACAATATTTACACGCATCTCTAAACTGATGACCTGTGGGGGGCTTTTAAAATGCCGTGTATATACCGAATTCTGTCGCAGTTTCACGGACGCACACAATTTTTTAACCTGGTCATACCGGGTATCTATTTACTCTTTGTAATCTCGTCTTTTATATTATACCCAAAAAAATAGTTTTGTACTGTGTTTTGGGAACTAAAATTTAACTGAAGTGCATTTTTTACATAATTTTCGACTTTGATAATAAGTTGCGCTACTGTCGTGCAACATAAAAATGTGCAACTGCCGCCGTTTTATTCTACAAGGTCTGGGCTTTCAGAAAATGTATAATGTTTGGGGGGTTTGAAGTAATTTTCAGGCCTAAAACGTGGATTATAAAATGTAAACAAAAACATTTTTTTTTTAAAGTGCGACGTGGTGCGCAGTCTCTCCCGGGAAATTTTCACCACCCCGGCAACCCAACCGATACACCTCACCTAGAACACCAATATACAACGAGGGGACATTATCACAACTGGAGCAGACAGAATCTGGAGCCGCTGTGCACGGTGAACCAATCAGCTTCGCTCTTTAATTTTCAAAACTTAACTGAACAAACTGCAGAGAGAAGATGATTGGTTGCCGAGCGCGGCTGCTCCAGTTTTTGACCATTTCCCCCTCATTGTGTCATTCAGCTCACAGTGATGAGGACTAACAATCCTCAAATGTATTACCTCCTCTGCTACCAGTTCCAGCAAAGTCTCCTCTCCACTTCTTCCAAACTCATCTCTCACCAGGAGCTTCCTGTCTGTACCTTATATCACTTCCTGTTGATCACCCTACATCACTTCCTGTCTGTATCTTACATCACTTCCTGTAGGTGGCTACCACGTGAGATCGCCGCCTTGTGTTGAATATAAATACTTCAGCCTCCGTTATGTTTCATCATTGTGCTCGCTGCCTTGTGGTCTATTCCTCTGTTACGTTACATCCATGACTACACACAGATTATACCTCACATCAAATCCAGACAATAATTACATTAGAGTGTAAGCTCCTCTGTACAGAGACTGATGTGACTGTGGGGGGGCATTAAAGTGTAAGCTCCTCTGTACAGAGACTGATGTGACTGGCTCAGTGTCCTCTGTACAGCACTGTGGTATATGTCAGCGATATATAAATGGATAATAATAGGGGGTGTCTGTGGTTAGGTTTGAGGTAAATCTTTGTGGAGAGCAGAATCTGCCCGGTGACTCTGATCCCGCCCTGTGATTGGTTCCAGTGGAGGGAGTGCAGCCAATGACAGTGGAGGAGGTGTGAAGCGTGAAATCTGATTGCCTGTGATGCTCCCCTCAGCTCCTTCTCTCAGTTACTGAAGACTTTCTCTCCGACTTGGAACTTCCTCCTTGCATGTGACACCACTTCCTGTCTCTTCCACTCAGTAGAGGAGA